ATGTTATATTTTGAGACTGATCATAAAAACAAAATGGATTAAAAGAAGAACTAAACAGATCTTTCTCATATTGCAATGATCGATTCTATTTCTTTCACATTAAGTACTGTACTAGTAAATATGTGAAATGACAAACTCACTTTGAAGGTTGGCTTTCATACACATCAGTATTAAGTTTAGATCAAAAGTTACCTCAAGGTACATTTACTGTTAACATGACTCATCAGATTAGATGAGAGGATTAGAGGAAAGAAGAGAAAAGATCGAACTGACAAAGAACTAATGAAGATGGTACAAAGGTGGGCGCCAAGATCCCTCTGGGATCTCTTGTTCAGTATGAAAATGTCACTTTTCAATTCACAAATCCATACGATACCTTCTACGCTATGCAGATGCTGGTGAAGCGGTGGTATAATAAGTAGATACCTTGGTACATCTTTGCTATGTATACTAAAGTATTTATTAACCTAAAAATATATACCATTTATTTATGCAAATCTACAAAATTATATCAGAAAACGGTAAAAATTATGTAGCGTAGCTCTTTCAAAATTGTGCGCAGCCTTATTGTTAAGCATGACGTAATTAGAATATAGCGCTAAAGATTGCCCTATGATATCCTCAACTGCTTTGATGCAATTTCGTCGATTTAAGTAGTAGAAATAGAATATTTAATGGTTCATCGTTGAATAACATATGCATATTACCCTCGAAGGCACAGTGTATCGGTCTTATCACTCGTGCTTTATTCGGTATTCTGCCTTTCATCGAGAAACCGTCAAATATCCTCTATATCGATAGTGCTATTATGTTATAAAACGTGTTTTTTGGTTGTATGTGGTTTAATGTCATCAAAACATCACAATGGGAGTGAGCGAAAAAATAGATTGCAATGGATGTAATATGGGCAGCATATGAATTATGTGTTCATCCCTTAATTAGAAGACACAAGAGAAAACCACATTTTCCGCAGGGGGTGCCATACTATTGGCCTCAAACAATAATATGCAGTGTGAAGTATAAGCACACCTATATTCCTTCTCCGACCCTATAGGAGAAACCCGAGATTAAGATATGTGCAACACCATGGGAAATTTATCAAATAGTTTCACAACACGATAATGTTTAAAGAGTCGAGCACTGACGAATGACTAAACCGTATAGTGTTTGAGATAAACTTCTGATAACATAACTTCCACTTGGGGCCACACGATAGAAACTATATGAAGCTATAACTGTGCGGGAAGCAAAACAATATGAAAAAAAAGACGGCAATAAAATGAAAAAGGTGTCAATCATATTAGCATTGATCTAGCTTGACCTGTGTAGATGGTAAAAAGAGGAAACATGAAGAAACCTGGTATTGTGAAGATAAAGGCGCAGAAAGGAGCAGAACAAAACAAAATCGTTTACCAGCATGAATGAATTAGATCTAAACAAAATCGACCAGATTAAAGAAAATAATTACAGGTTGTTAATGATTTTTTGTAATCATATCCTTAATCCAGGTAAAAAAAATGATAGTCATATCATAATATTTCTCTTATACTTTTTTGAAACCCATGAAGAACAATTAAACTACACACCTGCAAAGGAGAATCAGTGGATCCTGGGTACACTGTGGTGTCGTATCCTTGATCTATTAAGGATTTGTGAAGGCGTGTCCGATCCCAGATGTTCCTAGAGCTCACTATTGTGGTTAAACTACCCATCAGTATCCATATATATAATGCCAAAATGTTTGAGTCCGCCATGGTTGAGTGTTCAGCGCTGGAATGTGAATAAACATGGTGTGTCTGTAGACTGCAACACAAATTTTGTCAGAAGCTATTTTTAGACAAGCATCTTGAAGCTGTTATCTGTGGGAGAGCCCCGTTGTATGCAAAAAAAAAAGTTATTTCTCATTAATCCTCTCTCAGTTTCTATCCTCAATGTTTCCCTAGCAGAGTACACTGAAGAAAATCCTGGATTCTATAAGGGATCTACTTCAGATTACTTGAGCTAGACGATTTACTAATTGGCAACAGCTGCGGTAGCAAAGAAAATATAATTAGTTTCGTTAGTGTGAATACAAAACAAAATCTGAACTCAAAATTGAAAAATAATATCAGTGAAGTTAGGGAAACAACAAACCAAAAGGAAAGATATATATATGGGGAAAAAAACTTGTAGAATATTGGTAGGAAAGGAAAGGAAAGGAATTAATAGACGTTCCAAGATTAAAGGTTGCTCCAAATTCCTGCAGTTTCTCTAGATAACTCGAGAAAAACCAAAATTGATGTGATGTCCCTCGCATAGTTACTACATCTGTCTTTTCTTTTCTACCTTCATTCGTTTCCATATGGGTACCTAGGGTTAGCCTCGGGTGGTCAGTATGATATGGTCAAGCATAGTGTCATATGAACTTTTCAGTGATACCTAACGTGACCATTTAGTGGTTCCATTTACTGTTTACATGGTGTAAAGACGCAAATTCCTAAACGGACCATGTCACATATTTACAAGGGGCGCCCATTTATATATATCATACCAGTATGACACTAAACAAAACAAGAGTTCAAGACTGAAGTGCTTGAAACTGCTGAATCATGTTGTCACGTCGCGGAAACAAAAAGAGACCTATAAGACACGGATGCCATGCTCCCTGTTTGACCATAAATACAAGATAAAGAAGTCAAAGGTAAAGGTCATCAATTCCTTCATTTGTCGAGGTTAAAGGGTCAAAGATCACGGGAAAACCAGGGTGGGAGAGGCATGGGTATAATTATGTTTGTGTGTCGGTTTGTGTAACAGGTGCCTCGGAATGGTGACAGCTCGAAATAATTAACACACTTTCGTTATCGATGCAAAAATATATCATTGTTTTGTAAATGCTTCATCAGTTCATGCCGGTACAGCCAGACGTTACTAATTTGTTATCTATTTGTGTTTGCTAGAAGTTGAAAAATATTTTTTTGTATTTCTTTGATATGCACCGTGTTAAAATCTGTTTTATTTAGACCCCAGGGGCGTAGGTACGTAGCACTATATTTAGGTCAAAATAGGTCGCATGTTCACATGTTATGCCTAGACAATAATTGCATTAGGGCTCTCTTTGTAATATGGACTTAATGACTTTAGCTTGGCGGCAGCTTTCAGTGCTGTTATATTAGTTACAGAAAAACGTGTTACGTTATCAAATACAGGAACTGCATCTTCAACTGAAAATCATCATATCATACATCCCCCTCTTTCCCACCTAAACCCCCATTCAGAGACTGTATATATCACTGTCAATTCTTGGAATTAATTACTTTATCCCGACCAAGCTTATCTGCTGATACTCTCAGTTTAAAGGTTTAAACTTCGCCCTGGTCGAATCAAAACACACACACACACACATATCATGTGTGATCATGTATACTACCAATATTATATAAGTCAATTGTTTTTGAGTNTGGGGGGGGGGGGGGGGGGGGGGGGTCAACTCCAGCAGCATTGGGAAAGGTTCCCATGGGGAATTGGGGTACCCAAGGGGATATATATCGCATAGGATTTTTTCCAGCAGTCCCAAGCTGTCTAATACATTGGTCTATGAAAAGATTATTCATTACAGTTTCTGTGTAATTAATATATATGACTATTGACATTTGATGTATTTCTAAATCCTTTACCTATCTATGTTATCTATTAAGTTTTGGTTTAGTGTGTTCATTTTTGTAAATGTCTCTTTTTACAGTGTTTGTTTGGCCCTAAATGACTGATTGTCCACAGGTACTAGCTAGCCACGTCTGTCGATACTCCTTTAATTACAGGCACTAGACTCGTCTTTGTCAATACACCAATAATTACAGGTACAAACCTCGTCTGTCAATACTGACAGACAAGGCTAGTACCTGTGCTTTGTCGATGGGTCGTTAAACAATACAAAAACAAAACAAAACGAAGCGGACGTAAAACTACTCAACAATCAATCACAAACTACATATATATATATGTGTGTGTACGGCGACTCTCCAGAGAGGTATATATATCTATATATATATATATATATATACTAGTATATACACACAGTGTAGTGGGTGCTACGAGCTATGTTACACACGCTGTGAATTGCCGTTTTGCTATTTTTAGCATATCAAAATTCACATTTTAGTTAATTTCAAGAGTACTAGTCATCTTTGAGTACATTTTCAAGAAAATAGAACTACAATTGTATCAAACTTGCAATCGGTCATCTCAAGATACTCCCACAAATGCAGTTATATCACTTATGCAATTACAGGCAAAACTCCGACAGAATTTAAGATCCATGGCTATATTCTCTGGGCTACTAATAAAACCAAACTTTACTATTTTCATTATCATTAATACATAAGGGATACTGAAGAAATCAATTTTGATGTATATTGAACCTATTTCATTATTTTATTTTCTTAAGTTTTGCATTATTCCCAGTGTCTCGTTTGGCACAATTATGGATTATTCATTTGCAAACATTTGTTTGTATGACATTGCATTGATGGGTTGTGAAGACCCATCTAATAAAATGAAAGTATATTTTATTTATTTTTCAGAAACATTGAACTGGTCCATTGCGCCCATGTGTAAATAATAATAAAAAAGTAAGTATATTGTTTTCTTATTTATTTTCACACATGATGTTGTTTATTCATACACAGCTATTTACAAACATGATTGATAATGAACTGTAGTTGATTAAGTTAACAATACAAAGCTATGTTTACTCTAATCAAACAATGTACGGTGAAAGTATAATGAGTGATATCCATGCTTGTATGCTATATTAGACCGCGGTAAATGATACCAGAAATGTGAATATGATTTTCTTTCTTCCATCTCAGGCCGTTTTAAAGACCATAAAACAATACAACCATAACCTCGTGGCCAATAAACTTCAATAAATATTTTTTGTACAATAACAGTTACACAATTGCAATTGTGTGAACGTGGCAACACTTTCAAATGTATTAAATACATTCTTTCTATTTCAATCATTGCAATCATGTAATAAATAATGTATCTTTTTAAGGAAAACAATTACGCTGTTGATACAAAAACGGTTTCATTTCAAATTTTACACCGAAAGTATTTACAGTAAAAAGTTTCTTTTGTTGATGCCTTTTAAACTATCATCAAATATTGCTCTAAATAAATTCTAAATATCTATTCCAGGCGATATTTACCGAAACAGACATTTCAAAGTAAATATTACTAATTTTGCTGTTAAGTTTCCAAATATACGAAAGTAATTAGGTAAAAGTCACTATTTCTTATTATAATAAATTTTCAAATAATCAAACCATAATTTACATGCATGAAGAAATGCTTTACTCTTGACATAATGAGTCATGGAAAATGTTGGTGGTTTTCCTTTAAAATCATGGATTTCACAGTATATGTTGATTTCTTAGTGAGTAATTAATTGTCATTAGCGAGACTTGGATTAACCTTTTCTCAACAATAAGATATGTGTCTTATGCCAAACATCTAACGGGCATAAACAATACTGTTGACAGATTAAAAATAAAAAAATACTCAATAATTTGACTATATCAACAAGCAGTATCATATCACTCGGTAACAGTGTAAGCTATACAGTGTAAGCTATAGTGTATCCAAACAGTTCTATGACAGCAGCAACAACAAATACTTTTTTAAGATCACAGTTTTCAGATTAAAGATGAAAATATATCTCTAAAAGCACTTAAGAGAGGACAGTGGATTACAACAAATGACAGTGTATAAAGATACAGCATTAACAACTGGTCTGTGTAACTTTGAAAATGTTCATTTCATGATAGACATTCAGTAAACGCTGATAATAAATCATATGTATATACAAAACCACCTTGACCTTTTATAACAAAAGCTTTAAAATTAAATAAGCCCAATTATATATATATAGTTCAAACGTAACGAATCCATACTCGTTAATGTTTTATCAAATGTACATGGTCTGGTTATAATGTTCACCTCTTGTGCAAAAAACATTTCTATTTTAGTGACCAACATATGTAAAAACAACCTTACACAAAGTAGAAGTCTTTTTATATTAAATGTACTTTTCAAAAAGATGGTCAATTATTCAATTGTACCCAAAAATCATAACATCAGCAATACAGGTTTGCTGGCGAGGTCTGAAAATAACAGAAGACAAGGAAGAAACAGTGCACGACTGATCCTAATTACCATAAATATTGCACATTTAGGGATATTTATATATTTGGTAGCATTATAACCATACCTCTATGATACAGGTAAGTACACATAACATGCCTGTTCAGCAGAAAATGTTGTTTTTTTTTTAATTTCACAATTATTATAAAGTGTCGAAAAATACAATTTTTTATTGATGTCCATGTTTTTGCTATCTTATTTAATTTGATTCTTATAAAAAAAGGTCATAGAAAAAATCTTAGCAATCGAAAATCTTTAATTTGTGACTAATACTAATAATGTCTGTGTACACATGTATGCATATAAATACTAAATAGAGCTAACGTACATAGTGATTCATATTTTATTAGATATATTAGAAGCTAAGCAAGTTTTTTTATATATCACAGAAATAAAAACTTAATGCACTATGATGGTAAACATTTTCATGACTTGTATTATGTATTTGGTATTGGCAGAAAATACATTTAATAACACACTGAACAGCAGTTCACTTATGATTGTAGACATGATTATTAAATATCTCAGGACGGATTTCAATGAACAATACATAAATCATAAAATCTGTCTATCTATTTCATAGGTGGATAAGAATACCTTTACATGTATGGATGGATTTCATTGGTGAATATAAATAGATTCGCATGTATGTATGGATTTCTTTGGTGAATATAAATAGATTCGCATGCATGGATGGATTTCATTGGTGAATATGATTCCATTCATTTGTGTGGCCGAACTTCAAAAGGTGGATATAAATACATTCGCATGTATGGATGGATTTCATTGGTGAATATAAATAGATTTGCATGTATGGATGGATTTCATTGGTGAATATGATTCCATTCATTTCTGTGGATGTACTTCATAGGTGTATATAAATATAACTTCAGAATCAGGTAGATTTCATTGGTGTCGTACCAGTATACAATATATGGAATGTGTTTGGCAAAAAAACCTTGGACGGATTCTACAACAACAAAAATAACACTCCCATGGAAATAGTGTAGAAACAAAAATATTTTGGGACAAATTTTGTATCTACCACAACTAAAACTTCTCTATCACAATTCTATCACAACGAAGATTATAAATATAAACATTATTAAAAAAATTATCGTAGCAGAGAAATTAAATAATGATTAAATAAAACTAATTAACCACACGGAATTTAGAAACACTTTTCTTCAAGTTTATAAACAAATCATGACGTTGGGACTAGCAGCAGTTGTGTGTCGAAAGCCCAAATGTAAATGTCTTGAGAATGAAGACAAGTATGTGTGCATTCTGGACCAGCCATTTATATAAATACACCTTAGACATGATTGTATCATCATCTCTTACATATTGAGTTTCGAATGTATCTACATCACTCCTTAAACCTACATCACACCCACAAATCTGCACATCACACCCACAAATCTGCAGTTAAGTTTATTCACGGTTCCATCTTGCGATATATAAGTTTAACTGTTTGTTCAAATATTCACGTCAATATATATATATCTATCAGGAAATTACAACATACTACTGATTAAACCAGATTTGTATTACATAAAACACATCGATATGTACGTATGATTTTAACAAGATAGTGTATATATAGACTATTTCATATACATAATACTAGTCCTAAATATACTACGATTTTAGTATTGACATACTCATATAATACTATGGTTTTAGAATAGAAATGTATGTATAATACTGCTTTTTTTAAATGTGTATAAACATAAAATGACACGATTTTAACAAAAATATTACTACTAGACAATATGATTAAACACAGGAACAGAAATATTAGTATTTTTTCAGCAGACAATGGAGAAAATACTATCGGTTTATTGTTTTATTACAATGAAATAATTAAAATGCTATAATTGTGTATCATTGTCATTTTATAATTATAAATCATGAACTATTTACAAGACTGAACTTTACATAACTTGGAAACAAAGAGTTGGTTTTAAAAGTCATGTTGGTTATAAGACAAATAACAAGTCACTTGAAGTTGCTGCTATCATTTTGACGGAAGTTACCCTGGAAACAAACAGTTTGCCAAATTGATTTTGTCAAGTGAGTTGTAAAAGTCATGTTGATAATAGGACAAATATAAGTTAACTTGAATTTGTAGCTATTGTTTTGACAGAAGTATGCAATTCAGTAATTTAAGTCCAACAAATATAGTGTTCAATTCTTTTTCAGCAAAATACCAGTTATGTCAGTTCGCATAGATCAAATATTTTGCTGTATTGTACAAATCTAAGTACCTCTAATTATTTTTAACATTGTGTGAAATAAGTCTACGAGATACTACTCGTAAAAAGAAATAGAGAAAAAATATTTGGGATAAAAACATCTTATTCATTCATGACAATTTTTAGCAAACGCATATTCCCTTTGACTGGGACATCTTCAAATAGTTATGAAACAACGAAAGAATATGATTGATAAACAAAAATAAATCAACACTATGGCAAGATATAGTATCAAAGCTTAACTGGCCGAGATTAGGCAACATCACAGGGGCAGTGGAAAGCCATTTATTCAAATGTTTTGTTTTCCAAAATAAAAGATTGAAACATATTTTGTGATGTTTTTACCCTTTCACCACTGTAGACCATAATGGACTCATCTATATCAATGCATGGTAGAGTCTACTGAAGTAACATAGGGGTAAAAAGGATTCTGTTCTTTTTTAAGAGACATAGAAATAACAGTCAATTAGTCAAATCGTTTGAAACAACTTTCTCCTACTGAAATTTTGTTAATTGGGGATGATACTGTCTAACTCTGCCACATCTTCTATTTTTTAAGGAGATAATCAGTTATTTTTACCAAACCGAAAGTACTTTAGCCTCTGCTTTCAAGTGTTGTAGCATCAGAAAACCTGTAACCTTTTGCCTCTCTCTTCAAGTGTTGGAGCATTAGAAAATCTTTTCATCCGTGTTTCAAAACTGAAGTCTACAAGCACTTGTATACAATTTCTGATTTACTACTTTTTCTACCAACATTTTCAAGTAAGAAATAAATAACGGTTTTAGGTATAATATATGGTTTAAATTGACAAAATGAGCATTCATTGAGCAATCAAATCAACTTAATATATCTGATTATATATTCTTTATATAATTTACCATAATATATTCATTGAGTAGTGCAACACATTTATAGACTAAAAATAAATCAAGCAGCCCTCTGTAATACAGTTTAAATGGCTTCTTTGATCGTATTTTCTGTGATAACGTTTTATAGAGATCTGGTATATAAATTTCCTATGGGAACTGCTACTAAAGAACACACTTGGCAAAACGTTGTTCTAAAACCTAGATCTACTAGACATGTATCAAAACATCGGAAAAAATATGACTTTTGAACTATCCTAGACAAGTATTGCCCCTAGAAATAAAGCACTGCAATCTATACTGAAATACTCCACTATGGAAAAACTGCAACATTAGCTGCAACATTTTGAGTGTATTTATTTTTGAAAAATACGATGAAAATTGTGTATTTTCAAAAATGTGTTATTGATTAAAAAAAATATGCTGAAAATGAATACCATTTACGATATATTTTGTCTTGATTTTTTTTAGCTATTTAGGCCATGATTCAATAATGATCTTTTCTCATTAACAGTTAAGGAAACTTCCCGTGGTGAATTGAGTTGATCCACAATATTCCGTCTTTGCGTATTGCAGAGTTATCTGCTCTTGTGAGCAGGTATTGATTGTTCGTCATTTGTTTGTGAGAGTAACGTCATAAATTTTTGAGAAAACAACGTAATTTTCTCACACAAACCAATGACGTAACAATCAATAACTGCTCACAAGAGAAGATAACTCAATACGCAATACGCAAAGATGGAATACTCCACGAAAAATACCAACCAAGATAAGTACATTCTAAGCATAAAAATAAATCTGGTTTCACCTAAATGTTCAATATTTGATTAAGTGTATCTGCAATTTTTAACAACAGAATTAAAAAAAAAAAACATTTTTTGCTCTTTAAATAATATGAAAAGGAAAAAAATCAGATCTACAACACAGGACTCAACTGGAAATGCAGTTGCTAAACATTGTATCAGAGATTTTGGTGCAGAAAAAAATCCTTTTTATCTATTTAATTCAATATGATCTCCCTTCAAGCAATAAATTTGACATTCAATGCATACTAACAAATGACTTTAATTTATTGTGAATAACATGATATGTATCATGATAATTGTGCATTTCAAATTTGATCTGCTTTAAAAGTGCATCCCCAAAACTTCAGGGGTTGTGTTCACTTGCACCTTTCTGCAACCCTGGAACATGTCTTTGCATAATTGAAGGCACACGGCTAGCTACTTGACTGAACTCAGGTCATAAAAGACTTGACCATTTGCTAGGCTTATACCTGTTCTTTTCTGACAAATTCCGGGGTGCAAAAAGTGTAAGCAAGTTGTAACCCCCGGAGTATTGAAGACACAAAAACCACATACAACAATTTCAAACAGGAGTCACATCAATACTGAAGATGTCAAATGCATTTAAGACATGTTCATACTGTCAATGGAATCGTAATCACTTTGTCATTAAAAAATATTCTTAAAACATATTCCCAAAAACTTGAGTCACTTTCAAAGACAATTTACCCAATGAACTCTGATGGTCTAGATAACGCCTTGTAACATGATTATGTGGTAACCCAGTACTGGAAATCTCGAATCCTCATACATGTAATACTGTATACTGGAAAATGTTGCCCAATCAAATACTTATTCTTCATTGGTGAAATCCATACCGGTATTTTTCACCCTTCACATGTGATTACTGTATAGGGTATGCCCCGTCATGATGAACTCACACTCATTGCCGAGGACAAAAAATGTGAAACGGAAACGGAGGCGAAACTTTCTCGGTATACTGTAACACACTTTACACTAATTATGTGGTTATTTAATAACCTATTATAAAATGATTATGATGTTACCTAATATTGGCAATCTCTGCAGATTATAATCCACCTTATGTGATAAAAGTGACAACGCTGCCATTTTGTGACGATATGTGTATCCTATTTGGAGGATTTCTGACGCTGTGAAAAGAGAATTCTCATCTCCACAACATTGTTTGACTGGTGTGTTGATAAATGTAGACCAGTTTTCCAATGAATGCTGAAACATGATAATTTTGACACATCATTTGGTGGGACCTGAATTGGAGCCTCTATTTCCATGTCAGCCCATCATAGACAGACACAGCACAGGAGAGTCTGTGAACACATGTGTATTAGGCGATATTCCTTGGCCGCAGATTTTTATTAGTCCATGATGTACCCTGAAAACACAAAATGAAAACCATTTTATATAAATATAAAATACAAGTCGCACATGGGGGGTAAAATAAAGATAGTGATACATTTTTTATATTCAAACTTCATGCGAAAGGAATCTAAAGATAATTATATTCATCTGACCTTTGACCTGAGCAGAGTCTGGGTCATTTAAGATGCGTGATATGTGTATAAAGTTTGGTATTCTAGTCATCACCTGGAGGGAAAATATATTTAAAAAAAGAATATTAATTTATTTCAATCAAATGACATACAAATTACTTCTTATTGATGTGAAAAGACTGAGCAGAACCCTTCGGAGTTGTTTGTGTTGTTTGGGGTACCGTATTGTCCACTTGTTGACCTGACCCTTGTTTGGGGTACCGTATTGTCCACTTGTTGACCTGACCCGCTTTGTTATACAAAATACTCACCTAAAATTGAGATCCTGCTCTGTACAAATTTCATTATCTATATTCCATACAGATCTAGACTTTGATGCTTCTTTTTCCTTCACTTTTTCTTCTTTTTTAATTTGTCTGGTCTTTCTCTTCAATTTGTCTTTCTCTGCGAAGGTCATCCGATACTGAGGCCCGACCAGTTGCTTCTCTTGCTGGGCAGTATTGATGATAACATCTCCATTTTTAATTTTTTTCCGGCTTCCAGCAGATCCTCGACTGCTTCCGGCAGAATTTCTGTTAGTTCCACCAGACCCCTGTTAAAAAGAAAAACCGAAATTCTGGATCAATAAAATAAAATCTCATTCCATCTAATATTGTAAAATTGCAATAGTTCACTAATGTCAAATTTTCTAAATCAATGTTCATATAAATATTTATACACATACTGAAATACCATGAAACACACTGACACACCATGTAACATACTGACACACCATGTAACATACTGACACACCATGTAACACACTGACACACCATGTAACACACTGACACACCCATGTAACACACTGACACACCATGTAACATACTGACACACCATGTAACACACTGACACACCATGTAACATACTGACACACCAACTTATTTTACAGATGACACACGGGGGCCTATTTTAGTCATTCTTTCAATCATGTTGTAGAATAGAGTAGGTTAATATTTGCAAAAAACAAAATTCCTTTAGTAACAATAGGTACCTTTCTACTAGCAGGATCTGATGAAAGATCATCAATATCGTCTATTCCCTCATCCTCATCTGTATCAATGTCACTGATATTATCCAGCATCTGTAAACTCTGTGTATGGCGATGCTTTGGCGTTGTCCGTTCATCTTCAATCTCGAGAATGTCCATACTTTGGATTGTTCCACGTCGATTTTTGATTGCAGACTCTCGGTACTCGATTTCACTGTAGGTGTGGTCTTTGTAGTTCCACGTAGACCGCGAGCGGGGCTTAAACCGGACTTCCTTGACACATATCTTCTCCACAAATGGCATTTCAAACTGTAGTAAACATTTTAAGGTTAGTGTAATCCAAAATTTAATACTGAAAATATTGAAAAACAATGTATTTTCCTATTTGTTTAAATAATTATAAGTGAAAATTTTGAATAGTTAGCAAGTTATATATATGATACTCTTTTGATATTTTACATGTACAATGTATTTATATATTTATATATACTAAATGGTCTTCAGTGATATTATATAAATACAAGTGACATCGTTTGGTGCAAAGCATCCTCAGCAAACAAAATGAGAAAATTCTTCCTTTTGAACCGTCCCAGCATACGTAAAATACCTTGACCTTAAGTGTTAGATACAAACCTGGCCTTGACCTTAAATGTTAAATACAAACCTGGCCTTGACCTTAAATGTTAGATACAAACCTGGCCTTGACCTTAAATGTTAAATACAAACCTGGCCTTGACCTTAAATGTTAAATACAAACCTGGTTTTTAGAGTTGGCATGTCGTCGTATAAACCTTACAAAGTCCTTGCGTGATGTATCCTTTACCAGGACTAGATCCATGGAACCGTCACAAAGATGGCTGAACTTATCCAACCCTTCAGGAGCCATTTCACAGTTTCCCGGAATACTGTAGAGTCCCACGTTGAGGAATGATCCCTTGAACGTTTTCCAGGGGGATTCTAATTTGGAAAGATCTGTAAAGATACAAAGTATTTAAGTAACATTATCATGACAAATCAACGCACAGGTAAAATATTGAAGCATAAATTGTGTAAGTTTTATGAAGACATGTTGTACACATACTTATTTGTGCTTATCATACTTAAATATATTTTGAACAAATAAATATTTTAGCACTGAATTAAGGTATACACTTTTAGATGTCAATCATATTTTTGAGTCACATTTTTTACTCATGCTGTGGAAAAGAGCAAGTTAATTTTTGCCAAAAAAACCCAAAACAGACAGAACAGAATTCCTACAGGGAACAAAACAAGAGGCCCATGGGCCTTAACGGCTACCTGACATCCGATTCAAATTAGGACTGTCATCCAGGGGCCAATTCATACTTTTCGTCAGTCCGAGTGACCTTGCTGCATCGTCCATTTTTTTTCTTTTCTTGTGAACACAATTACTTCAGTAAATATGAACCGATTTTGATGAAACTTTGTATGCAGCTTTGTATTAATGAGATCTTGGATGAGTTTGAATACCGTACCAATTTGACCATAACTTACATAGTTATTCCCCTTGGTAATTCTATTATTGTTGGACCCTGTGAACACGATAACTGAAATAAATGGGTGTGACTCCAATTTTGACCCAAGGAGTCTGTTTTGAACAAACTTGGTAACTGTATGTCTTCTGTTCTTGGTTTAAAACAAGTAAAAGCGTAAATCAATGATTTATTAAATAAGGCACAAAATTTTGATAGCACCTTGTTAGTAGCAAAAATGTGTCATGAATGAAAAAAAAGATGTACCACATGAATTTACATCTATACTTGTGTAATGTCAATCAACATCACGTCCAGTTTAGAAGTGAAATTCTAAAGACTAGAAAATGTCTGTAAGACATACATGTCTGGCAATAACTCTGTCAAACTGTCAAATAATTCCCAGTTTCGAACTCATCCGAGCTCTTATTTGATATAAGGCTACATACAGAGTTTCATCAAACTTGGTTGATATTTACTCAAGTTATCGTGAACACATAGTCAAATACAAAATAATGTAATAATATTATTACAAAGGGCAATAACTCTGAAAGTTACAGTCAAATAATTCCCATTTTCCAACTCATCCGAGATCTTATTGATAAAAGGCTGCATACAAAGTTTCATCAAACTTGGTTGATAATTACTTAAGTTATCATGTTCACAAGGTCCAATAATAATATTATTACAAAGGGCAATAACTCTGTAAGTTACTGTCGAATAATTCCCGTTTAGAGTCTGGGATCTTATTGATATATGGCTGCATTCAAAGTTTCATCAAACTCGGTTAACATTTACTCAAGTTATCGTGTTCACAAGGTCCAATAATAATAATATTACAAAGGGCAATAACTCTGTAAGTTATTGTCGAATAATTCCCATTTTCGAACTCGACCGAGATCTTATTAATATATGGCTGCATACAAAGTTTCATCAAAGTCGGTTAACATTTACTCAAGTTATCGTGTTCACAAGGAAAAGTTAACGCACGACGGACGACGACGGACAAAAGGCTATCACAATAGGTTACCATGACCTATGGTCAGGTAACCTAATAAAATATATAGCACAAAACCTTCTTGACACAGAGTGACTGCTTCTATTTATCAAAGTTTTACTTAAACCATTAAATGTAACAAATCTATGCAAGTAGATAAGTGGCCTTAATATAACATACATATGTAAGTGACATGATGGCTCATGGCAACTTACCCATCATGAAGAAATTAGAGGTTATATTTGCTATTGACTTACTAGTCAGATCACGGTAGCATAAATGTCAACATCTGAAACCTTGAATGAGGGAGATCTCTCTTATAGTCTGCATTTCCAATGAAGGAGAAAGTGTGTAAAATGTGACTGAAACTGCTTTGCTAAATTTATCTTTCCCTTTTTATGTATAAAAATAACTCCAAAAAGCATTCAGTTGATTCAGAGACACCTGTTATGATCATTACACACACCCTGCAGTAACTAGGAGATCACTTTACCGCAGGATGTAGATTTTGAGTTTGTGTGAGTTTGGACTTAAATGAAGGAGTTTCGAGTGAGATTGGTAATTTTTGGTCAAAATGATGGAGTCTCCCTCCTAATGAGGGAGGGTTGACAGCTATGCAGTAGCCTCATTAAATATTTATATTTACATTCTGTATGCTTAGACCCATTGACAAAAATTACATTCATAAATGCATAACACAGGTGTTCATAGAATCTCAGCACGTGGGAACTGATAGTAACCTGATCACACTGCATAGTAATACACTACAAAAACTACTCACTTGGAACGACCGACCTAGATGCTTAATTCTTACATCTTAAAATATTATTGAACTGTGCTTTGTGAAATATCCACGTATTCACGTGTCCTGTGCTACAAATAAACATTGAATATGGAACTACATTTTGTTGTGTTATTGTTGTTGACGGTTGCTAAGATCTCTCACGATAGTGTCACATTTCCCCGCGAAAAAACACTGTTCTCGCCACTGCGTTGCACCCGTGTATAAGCAGGAACAAACCCTGTTTATTTGTTTTATTCGTTGTTATATCGATCCACTGAAAGGATTCGTCAATGTAAATATAAGGAATGATATTTATTTTTTCAACATTTATGAGGTCATAACAACAATGGGTTTTTGGACATATTTTACATGAATCGCTAACGCGATTCATTCAATATGTCCATAAACCCATTGTTGTTATGACCTCATAAATGTTGAAAAAATAAAAATCATTCCTTAAGTGAATTTTGTCTGGCATTGGGCTTGAGTGTACATAATCTAGGCAGAACTTTAACCCTTGACTTACCCATGAAGCTCTCACTGTTATTTGAGGTGTTGAGAGGGTCAAAGTCTTGTACCTGTGTGTCGTTGGTGACACTTGCTGAGTCATCAAGTTCCTCCGTCCAACATCTAGTACACCTGTAGAATACAACAAACATTGCACTTTTTCAGCAGGGAATATCATACCACTTCTTTACCACAGTAGAAATAAGCTATACAAAATAATATAGAGGTATACAGACTAGGTATGCTAAAAAATGGACATCTTGAATGTAGGTTTTTTCTTTATGACTGCTAAAAATTGATAATTTATCATTAATCTGGTAAATATTTTCCCCCCAAACTTGTCCAGAACTACAGTACAGTGATAATATCAGTTTTATTACACTTCTAAATATACCAATGAATCCAAGTGCAATTGAGTAATTGAAAGTTATATTGAAAAGAAAAATTCTGCAACGCTAAGATGGAATTGATTTCAAAAGTTTTGAAACTTATATTATTCCAAACACATGTTCCATGAGAATAATATAGAAACCATTGCTGTTTCTATATGAGTGTTCTAGAACACCTTACTCTTTATTTCAAAATCCAAGTTTTTTATTGTAAAACAATGTTTGTGTATTGTTTAATTATTGTATTTATGTAATGTATTTAATATTTTTTGAAACCAAAGTTATGTGACAATTGACTGACAGTTGGAAACCAAAACAGTTTTCCCGAATTATAAAATTCTAAAACAGTTATAGCTGTAATAATTTATTAGAATTATTGTTTATAAGCAACAATTGATTTTTAGGAAATCATGTGTACAACAATTATCTGTTATTAAAATGCATTACTTGTGTTAAATTAATAATAAGATAAAAAAAAAAACATACCCAGTCCTACATGTAGAGTACTCATTATCCGTGTTCTTTTCTTCAGCGTTCGATACAGGGTCTGCTGGTATGTACTCCACTTCACACTCATACGGCCTGCAGGGGAGATAATCCAAATATACAACGTCAGATATTTATTAATCCCAACAATACCGGTATCTTAAATTTTCTTGAATATTGCTTAATTATACAACTTAATCATAAAGTAAATAACTTTTCACAATTCCATCGGCTGGATATAACCTTTATTATTTCTTGTGTTTGTATGGTGATTTTTGTATCCCTAAACTTGTTCATATTTTGATTTGAAAAGTTTGAAAATATGTTTCATGTGAGATTTGCGTTAAGTTAAACAGACTTTGAACAACTGGGTCTGCTCAACAAAGTTTATCATTAAACGTGAAAAAACTTCTATCGAAGTGATTTACATTAACCTGCATTTTGTTGAATTTTGATATTATCATGATCTGTTATTTTCAAGCAAAATTGACTTACTAGAGTTTGGTTTAGGTACATTTTGAACAGATCTGTATGTAGATTATGTTACCAACCAAAATACACTGGTATGCTACAGGAAACCATTAACAAGCTGGAATAGAAATCTTTTCAGAACATACATACAAATGTGTACTTAACATGTACTGAACATGTGTGTCTGTAAGGAAAATGAATTTGACGGTTTATTAGGGATTGTCCTCGTCTTACCGTAGTTTTGACTTGGTGAGTGCTTTCAGTATAGCAGCGTCGAGGCCTTTAGCACCAAGCTTGTGTTTATAGCGTTCGTACATGCTGAGAACATTTCCTCCGAAGCCATATTGTGATATAAATGACCACTTTAACAGTTTCTCTTCGTGGTAGACTGAACATATATCCACTTGCCTGTAGTTACCTATGGAAAGCAATAAAAACAATCAAATTATATTTTGTTTTTTATATCTTAATTTGATATCTAGCATTTGAAAGACTTTTAAGAGGTATGCTACTCTGTATTGAATATATTGCAGCATCTCAGAAAAATTCTAAGAGTAATTTGAGAGTATGACCAAATATTACTTTGCAGGCATATATGTGTCCCCACAAAATCACAAAAGTTATTATTACATTAGCTGTTGTAAGACTCAAAATCCCTTAAACTAAATTTCTATGTATTTTAGTTTCACAACAGCATTATTTTACATTCAATATACAAGGGGAGGTAACTTGGGTAAATAACCAGTTCTTTGTGGATTGATGTTCTGGTTAACCAGAAAATCTGTTTGTTATAAGATCTATTCATTCTAACTCATCATTAATACCAAGTGGAAATACTATCTGTTATACTGCCACAATTTTTTACTGTAGTGTAGCCTGTACGTTGAAACAAGAGGCCCATGGGCCTTAACGGTCACCTGAGTCTATAGTTTTTGTTTTTTTTGTTGAAATATGTACCAATTTGAGTAAAAAATAGTATAATGTTAACTTAACTTTGTCAGGACCATGAGCTGATCATTCCTAGACCAATTTTAAGTGAGATCGGCCTATTAGAATTTAGTAGCAAAATAGCGGCCATGGCAGCCAAATTGTATTTCTGATTGACCCGAAAAATAACAACACTTTGTCAGGACCATGAGGCGATCATTCCTACCAACTTTCAGTTCAATCGGTCCAGCAGAACTTGACTTTAAGTTTGAAATAGGTTTTCAAAATGGCGGCCGTGGCGGCCATATTGGATTTCTGATCGACCCGAAAAATAACAACACTTTGTCAGGACCATGAGGCGATCATTCCTACCAACTTTCAGTTCAATCGGTCCAGCAGAACTTGACTTTAAGTTTGAAATAGGTTTTCAAAATGGCGGCCGTGGCGGCCATATTGGATTTCTGATCGACCCGAAAAATAACAACACTTTGTCAGGACCATGAGGCGATCATTCCTACCAACTTTCAGTTCAATCGGCCCAGCAGAACTTGACTTTAAGTTTGAAATGTAAAATGTTAACGGACGACGGACGACGGACGACGACGGACGAAAACGGATAGCAATAGGTCACTTGAGCTAAAGCTCAGGTGACCTAAAAAGTTGGGACTGTTTGAAAGATGGCGGCCGCCAAAATAAGTAGAAGGTGAGTTCTCAGAACATGCTTGGTTTTTCTACTTGAAAACTTTTTATCATTCAACGGATGCACTGAAGCAAAACATAATAGATCAGAGTGTTATAAAATGCTAAAATTCCACTCCAGAAAAGCATCTATATTAAAGTTCAGTGTTTGCAAGGTGACAGGAGCCGGCAATTGGGACGTTCAGTCGACGACAAGTTTGAATTTACTCAAAAAACGGGTTCAAAAAAATATTCTGAGTATTTATGGACCCATGAGATAGGTTAAGAAGCCTTTAAAGATTAATAATATTCTAAACTGATTGCAAAATGTCCTATAAACAAGTAGAAATATGCATTTTAACTCATTCACCCCTGAAATTTCATAATGAACTATTCCAACCTTTGAATTGGAAGTGTTCAAATATGTCTTCAGAGGTGAATGAGTTAAAGAGGTGACCTAGATTTATATTTGTGCAGTTTGGACACTCCGTAACTTACGACTGTACGGTTGTGACATTGGATTCAAAGTTGTATAATTGTACGGTGGGGACTGAATATTCACACATAGCGATTGAGCGGTTGGGAATTCCATCACCTAAATGTTGTTTGACTTTATAATTGCAGATACAAAGAAACAGTTTACCAATGGAGCTGCACTATTGTTACGAATGTATCTTAATTTGGGGATGAAAATCCGCAGAATATCATTGACAATCATTGCAATGGAAAAGAATTATTGACCATGCGTGTAGCTGCCTATATGCTGGTAGGCAGGTAAAGCAACCAAATTTTCAAACAGAAAAACAAAACAAAAACACTGCTTGTTGTATACCCCCTTGTAACCCCTGCTACTGAGGCCCTGTCTTGGACCCGCCCCCTCATGAATCCCCTCTAAACAAGGGCTAGCTATACATATATATAGCTAAGCCCCTGTGGATTGCTGGTCATCAGTTATAATTTTATAGGCCGATACCAAAAGAAACCATGGAAACCATTCCTATATAATTATATAGGCTGATACCAACAGAAACTGGGTAACCATTCCTATATAGTTTCATAGGCTGATACCAACAGTAACCATGGTAACCATTCTTACCTAGAATCATATGTATTGTTGACGTGACAGCCTGACCAATTCCAAGGACAGATCCAGCTACCTGATTTGTTGTTCCTGCAAACAAACAAAATATGTTATCACAATTTGTGTAATTGAAGTTAATTCTTATCATTAAATATTTAAGTTGTCCAAAAATATATCATACCAGGTATTCAAAATTTTGAGAGCAGTTAATGCTATATATCCTTTTAACTGCACAATTTTAAGGCTAATACTGAAAGGCTGTGCAAGGTTATTTATGTACTTCCTTTCACATACGAGGGAGACTCCTCATTTTTAACAAAATTTACCAATCTCTGTCGAAACTCCCTCATTCAAGTACAAACTGACACAAAATCAAAATCTACATCCTTTGGTGAAATGATCTCCTAGTTACTGCAGGGTGTGCATAATTATCATAACAGGTGTGTCTGAATCAAGTGAAAGGTTTTGTTATTATTTTGATACCTAAACAGGGAAAGATAAATTGAGCAAGGCAGTTTCAGTCGCGTTTCACGCACTTTCTCCCTCATTAGAGACTTCAGAGTTTGACACCTATGCATTCAATGATAATAATTCCGAAAAAATAAATAAATTTAAATAAAATAAAAATAAAAATATCCAAAAGTATTATTTCCATATATATAAACCAAAATTAATTTACCCCCACCCTAGGGAAAATAAATTGTCCAATGGTGAGCCTTAAAGAGTATTTGCTTCTAAATTTTCTTGGTCTGAAGAATAAGATTTTGAAAATTTGAAATCAGGGTCTTATTTCATACCTTGGATCTTCAATTCAATTATCATAGTTCCAACCAGGTTTGAATTATTATTCCCTCCCCACCCCCCTTCCATAGATGAATGCACATATAATATATACTATGGTCAATTAGCCCCACCCCTCTCCCCCATGGATGAATGGGTGATAAAGCACCTAGCTTAGTTCATTATATTTTGTTCAATCTGAGAGGGTGAATATTTGGAATTATAGTCTTGTTAGCTTCAATAATGATCAGCATCAAAAAATAAAACCCCACCTGTTGGAAGGATACAAAGCGGTACATTGCAGGCAACCGGGGTGAAGCCAGCCTTGACCTCCACATCATTTTTAGCCTGGATTTTGTTCATCAGCCCTGTAGCAACTTGATTGACTGTGCCGTCGCCGCCCATACATGCAATGCTAACAAAAAGACAGAGCCATTTCAGTTACCTGTCTAAAATTACATTTTATAACACATTATCAGTTATTAAAACAAATTTTAAAAGTAAATTTACAATCCCATCAAGAAACAAATTGAGCCTTTTCCCATAAGACTCTGATTAGAGTCCCAAAACTTCAAAATTCAAGAAAAACCATGAACTTCCTTGTACCTGACCACTGAATTCATTCATTTCCATTACACATGTATGTGCATTCTATCGATTAAAACAGTTCAAATGTTTGTAAACATTTTCTTCAGGTTGATAGGTATGGAATATGAAAAGTTCTTTTTACACAACCAATAAGAGTTTCTATGTGACATTTCGATGACTAGTATGATATGTATTTTGTCACCTTTTTTAAACGAATGACCAGTGAAGCGTATGCACACAAAGGTGTAAAATGTGTATGAGTTGTCCACAAAATCGATGCTGATTCGGCTACGCTGTAAGCATATGTAAAATAGTTGTTATGCATGTACCGAAAAGACTCGATTCAGCTACACTTTGTTTAATACTTGGTAATAGATGTGCGAGAGTCTATGAGCCCCCTCATCTCAATTTAGAACTGGCAATGCAGCGTATCCAGATGGCTTCCTTTATCTGTCGCTTGAACAGATTGCCCTCTCAGTCCAATTCCTTGGCGTTATCCCAGTCAATCACATGATTTTTCTGTGAACGGCGCATAGAAACTCTTCTTGGTTGTGTAAAAAAGAGCTTTTCATAATCAAAACAGTTCAAGTTACCATTACTGCATACTATACACTAGTCCAAATTATTCTGACGTTTTATCGACTTTTTTCATATCGGTCTGTCGTCGAATAACGACGTTAATCGACGACAGACCGATACGAAAAAAGTCGATCAAACGTCAGAATAATTCGGACTAACTATACACATGGTAACAAAAACACCCATTTTTCTATCGTTTTAGACAGTGAACTGTACTTACCAATCATAGTCATCTAAATTGATGTGGACCATTTCCTGCTTTACAAACTCAGCATGTTGGATTTCTGTAAATTAAAATTAAAATATTATATACCAGTAAACAAACACGCTAATTTTTCCTGCAATTTAAAGTACTGAGTGGCAAATCTAATATTTTGCGTGATGTAGTAAAAAAAAAAAATATTACATCTTAGTTCTGTCAAGTTGATTTTGGTGATTTTGGGTATGTTGACAATTTTTATACTGTGTATAATAATATACCAGGTAAAGTGTAGCATAAACCAAAAGTGGTATAATATGGAAAATTGTGAATCAGATCCTTGATTGCAGTGACATAGAAATATCAATATAGCTTTGTTACTTACTTGAAAGTAATTATTTAACCCATTCAACCCCTAAAGTCACATTTTGAACCTTACAAAATAAAAGACTTGGAAAGTCCAGTTCAGATATGCAGGGGTGAACGAGTCAAGCAGGATACTTATTACATAGAACATACAAATTATTTCATGAACTTTGTCTTTTCAAAATATTAATGCATTGACGCATCATCAAGGTTAAAGGTCAGGTAAACTTTAAGCATAGAGCTATAAAGCACTACTGTGATTCACACTTTTAGATAAAGAAAATAGTTTTAAATTTATGCTATATGAGCGTATATCCTGGCAATGTTTGTTATACTTTGCTATATTAGTATATATGTATGTAAGGCTCCGGCCATTTAACTATTATCAACCCTTCAAAGCATGAGATTTATGCTTTCTGTAATATTTGATGTATTGTACTATATAATTGCATGTAATATTTTCAGCAATCTCATAACTTATATTTTAGATGTCATTTATGTTTAATTTATATAACTATGTTTTAAGAAATACTATGTAAACGCTAGCACATTTTACTAACATGGAGGACCCTGAGGGAGATTAGCCTTTGGCTAAATCAGGTTTTTTAATCCTTAATAAATAAAGTTTATTATTATTATAAACTTAATTTTGAAATTCACTCCAGCACTTTTATGACTAAAAAGCAAAGTCAACCTACCCACACAATCCACATCAATGCCCGCCGCTTGGATGATTGGCAACACCTTGTCTCTGTATAATTGTTTACTCATCTTATGGCCAGCCATAACCTGCATGAACAGTTTCACTGACTGTGGTCTTCCAGGAAGTTCTGAAAGGAAATCAAACATTATAAATAAAACAGGAAGTCTTTGAATGCACTTTCTATATTGTATGTCACAAACTGAATTATGTTTGTTCAAACTTTCATTGTCAGCAAACACATCTGTTATATATATTCCCCATATTTTTTTTTATTAATGTTCATGGTCCCTATATGGAACTACAAAAACTGTGATACGCCATGAATGTTTAATGTTATAAAGTTACCAAACATTTCAAATGGAACTTTTGATGAGGTTTTTTTTCCCAAACAAAAATGCACCGCTAAAGTTTAATGAAAAGCCCTATAGGCCCTTTTCACGCATCAGAGTGGTTTAAACGGTTTGTCTGTTTGTAAATGTAACATTTTTAGGAATTAATCCTGGTTGGCCTGCAAACTAATGTTTATGCAGGCCTTGCAATGCTTTGTCAAGGCTCGCCTAAAAGCAGCATCAGATTACCATGTCCGATCCTATTTCATAAAGGAACAACTCTTGTTCAATCGTTTGGATAGCAAACTGCAAAACTAATCGAAGGAGGCCCTAATGTTAAAGGAATTTCCTCAGAAATGTCCTTGACTTCAACACTGCTTTCCATTGACGTAAGTTAAGATTCAGAAGTACATCATGTATACTCTTTAACTTTAGCATCAATCATCATTTTCTTATTGAAATTAATAAGTAAAAACAATTCACATTTAAGGTCATTGGAGTGTATTGATAAACGGAAGTAGAAAGTACATCCCTAGTTGAAAATCCAATGTAGGGAGACAGTATAACAATTTCCACATATTCTAATGTTTAATATTAAACTGATGAATATTGTATGTTTATTATTGACAGAACAGGGTGTTCTCTCAATATTGAAGTATTTCAAAGCAATCCAGGCATTAATTCAGGTTTTTTTTTATTAATGACTCACATGTGTCCATTTTTCTGTTCTTCAGGAAACCGGCTACCTATTTCACTACTGTAACGTTTTTCAAGACAGATAACTCTTACATGCAATTACTATGTGTATATAGTTTTATTATATAATGTAAATTTTTAATCGTTAATAGATAATTTATTTTACACAATTTCAGCATTTATTAAATTGCTATACATTAATGCAATACTAATCTATGGCAGTATTATTTTTATCGACAGTATTTTGAAAACAATTGTGTCTTTCTAATTTTTTTTGAAATTCACTCCTTTTCACATAAATTTCCATTTAAAATCCTTAAAATTCGACAACCTATATATTTTTTTGTGGTAGAAAATTTTCTTTACTTCAAAGCAATATAACTACAAAATTTGAAGAAATTCTACTGAGAAATAGTGACACAATCCTATTCCCTTAAGAAAAAATATAATTATTACTCACCTCTGATATAGTTAAATATCCGTTCGCTATACTTCCTACACAGATTTTCACTAGGATGTTCAAATTCTATAACTTTTTCTCGATATGTGTTTGGTCCAAATTGTTGGTAGGTGTATACAATAAAACCGAGGCACATCCCATCCCCTTCCTTCCGATTCTTTTTCCGACGTTTTATTTTCACACCAAGTATATTCTTGAGTTCCAGACTATCCTTTTCTGGGGGGACATGTTTGGCAGACCGGAACAGGGATAAACCTTTTCCTTTTGATTTCCGAGCTGAAGAAATAAAACAACAACCATAAGAATTGGTGATACAATGTTATCAGTCTAAAGGGGGTCAAGGGGGGTTATATGAAAAGGGAAAACTGACTGATAGCATTTATAAGTTTGGTATAGAGCATAGATTTATTACATTGTATATAATACGGTACTAAAAATCTTTCAGTCCCTAATTTTTGGTGATTTGCTAAAATGATCTTCTTTCTGGCATATTGCAAGTATAGAGGCCAATAACCATAACAAAAAGTGTTTCAGTAATCATAAATGAATTTCTTGTTCATTTCTCTGTATTTTCGCTGAAAAGTTGTTACCCCAAAATTTTAACTCGCAAAAAAACCTCTGCAATATTATTTTTAAGTACAAATTAATCCATCCTTATTTTTTTTTTATCATGTTACTAAGAACTTATATAAGTGTAGTTGTGTTATAGTCTATGAAATCATGACTGGTGATGTAATAAGACTGGATAATAAAGATTATCTGTTCTTCAACATTGAAGTTTAATCGTTAATTTTTACTTGTGAATGATGAACCTTATTAGTAATTCCTGTCACATTAACTGGGTAATATTTTTAGAGTACTTCAGGGGCTGCATTTGGTTTTATTTTTTGTCAAGGAAAACTGCAGCTGGCAAAACCATAGTCTCCTACAAATCTATCTACAAACATGAAGCTGCATGATTATTGTTTTGAACATTCATATCCAGGTTATTTTAGTTCTACCTCACTAACAATGAAAGGTTCAGACACAGGAATGCTTAGAGAGAGAATTTATGTACATCACAGAATCGATGAGAGCCTACAATTAATGTCACTAGGTTAGTGTAATTGATTGTACACTATCCTCTTAGTAACCTATATAGCTAGGCAATCAATCAATAAACTGGACAGATCTGTTAAGGGATAAAAGGTAATTTGTTCTGTTAATTGTTCCTCAGAAAAACTCCCTTAACTCATTCACCCCTGAAGACACATTTGAACTCTTCCAATTCAAATGTTGGAACAGTTCATTATGAAATTGCAGGGGTTAAAGGGTTTGGTCGGGGGGAAAAAATGTCATATTTGCTAAAATGGCAGACATGTTTAAAATACCTTTTTATGAAATATACCGATACAAATTTGCTGAAATTCACTCCCTAGTAGTAAAAGTTATAATTATATTGAAGAAATCCTAAATCGTCACCTGACAGTCTAAAACTCACAATTGACCCAGATCAGTGATGTAATTTTACCGCCAAATGTAAACATTGCGGCGAAAGAAAAAGATACATGCAAAAGTCAGGACAGGCACGAGGTATCAATACCGTTATACATAACAACAACATATAGGTAGGAATACTACACTTGCATCATCCATGACCTTGGAAAACAATTATTTACGTATAGTATTGCTGTCTTGTCCGTTAGTCGAGTCCGACATGGCACATGACGGCGTGCTATTGTTGTTATCTTCACTGCCTCACTTTCAAAACAACCAAGTGACATATATAAATAGATCTGCGCTAAATTTACGCGGGGCTTCCCCAAGATTTCAGTGGTCAAAACTGGACATTGCAGACAGAACTCGACCATCATATTGCCGTGGTATAACTTTTGGAAGGCCAGAGAACGCATCTAGACCCATTTATTTTGTAAATTTTTCCCAAACCAGCACCTTTAATGAGTTAATGTACTCAGAGGTACATTGCAATACCCATTAAACTACTGTATTTACCCTGTTAAGCACAATGGATTTTTAGATGTAGGGAGATGGGTGCAGTTATACTTGTTACTTAATTTTGAATCTGTAATTTAATAACCTGAAAGTTCAAATTTATGAAGTTCTAAAGAAATCTTATTAACAGAGAAATTTATACAGATTTCAAATTGTGGGGCAGTTTTGTATTGTGTGTAAAGATTTATCCCTTTCACCACTGTAGACCATCATGGACTCATCCAGATGAATGTATGGTAGAATCGACTCAAGTTGCCAAGGGGTGAAAGGGTTAACTGTACTATGCCAAAATTTGTATACTCAATCAAAACTAAATTTTAGCAGCATACAATGAATGTACTTACACCTAGTATTAGATAATTGAATTTCTTGAAGTTTTGCTTTTACACAATTACAATTTTGACAAAATCAATCAACTCAAAGGGAAAAAAACACAACTATTCGGACCATACAAAATTTCTGAAATTTCAACATTTGAAATACATCAAATTATATACAATACAATGTCATCTCTCCCTTTAGGAGAATACATGTACAAAATGTGTAAAATTCATTTTTTCAGACCTATAGACGGTTTCCATTAATTATGTAACCACAATTCACTATGTGATATGGACCGTTTTCTCAGCCGCTAGCTGGCTCTTATCAGCAGACAGCTACATGTAAATAAAGTTGGCTTTCTTGTGCTTTATATGTCTGGTTTTCAAAATACCACCGTCCAGGTGTAAATTCCTGTCTCGTTAAGTGCACTTAAGGCACCAGGTACAATCATGTTCCGTACAGGTATATTGTCCTCTCCTAGGGTGATTTAATATTTACATGTTATATGAATTATAGATGACGTTCCCAAGGATTAAGCCTATAAATTAGAGATGTGCGGATAGCTGTGGTCAATAAGTATTGTCCTATCAAGTAGAGTGAGAGGTCAGCTAGTCTGACCTCTTCATCAAAGAGGGGATTTGAAGTGATCATTCGAAGGCGCTTTGGTATTGCCCAATTTATTTTCTTACCTAGGTACTTTTAATATGTACCTGTAATTATTTATGTGTTTCTTCACATGCATAAATGATTCACAGGTAATTAAGGCTATATCCTACGTTACACATCATCCTTATTATCATTTGTGTTAAGAGTTACCTCCCTTTAAATATATTTAGTAAGCATTTTCTTATTTAGAATTGCCTGAGTGTATTTTTGAAATAATGAGAAAGCATATCAATTCAAGGTTAAGGGGTGAACTACCAGTCAGTTACAATCACCACGAAGAGTTCTACAAACATCCGGTACATGTAAAGTCAGGGATTAATGCAGAAATAGAAAGTTAGTACTGTTTTTGAAATAGGGGAAAATATGCACTGTAGGTGCATGACCTGTCCAGTGAGTGCTGTTCATTATACACGCTTCAAATTGAAAGTGAAAATGAAATAAATCACTCAGTCGCGGAACTGACAGAAAATAAAAAACAAAATGGAACAATGAAGACAGATATTTACGCGGTAGTATTTTGTTACAAGTTGTCCCATATTTGGCCATAAAAATGGCCGGTATATATCCATGAAAGTTGGAAGCAAAAATAAAGGACTTGCCCTAGCTAATCCAGGTGAAGGCCATTTATTGATTTTAATATAAAAATTTCATTATCTGACACTCAGACTGATGACGTAAAATGCTTTTCATTTGAATTGTAAGATCAAGTGATATTTGTTAATAAAGTTATCTATTTATTTGTTCTCTTTTGTCATGATTTAAAAGATAAATACAAAATATTTATTTAAATAAACTTTAACTGACAACAACCAAATTGCTATATCAAATTGCTATATCCCAAACACTGCGCGATTGGAATGCCTTGCCTCCTGATATAGTGGAAGAGGAGACACTCAATGGCTTTAAAGGCCGAGTGTCACGCCTCTAAACAAATAAAACAATTCAAGGAACTTTTATCTATTTTAACTTTTTAACCTGTCCTCACGTGTAGTGCACACTCCAAATCTTTGCAGTATCATCAACCAGTTGAAGGAGGCAAATACAAGGAAGAAGAAGATCCTTGGCTGATAAAGATAATTAATTAAAACCATAGAAAACAAACATTTTAATTACTTTAATTCTATATAAGTGTTACAAATCCAGAACAACTTCATGTGTGAATCATTTTGGTGTTTATAAGCCACTCCAAATCTTTTCTCCCTGTAACGGTCAGGGTGATTAAGTTTAACAATGTAGAGTGGCTGTACCTGGGTAAACTGCCATGTTTACCAAATTTATTATACACAGCACAATATCATAAACAGTTAGTTATAACTCTGAACTCCTTGATATAGCTCCAGACATTTGATTATCCTTTTAAGTTCAGTATGCAATTAAAATTCTACCTCTGAACCAGACAATAAATATTTGCCTTGGGTTAATTTAACATTAAGGTAAGTGTTTACTGATCAATGAAGAACATGGAACATTTTGAGATGTATATGTGGCTAAGACATGTTAGTACATGCCATCATTATTAAGTATTTGTGTACTAGAACTTTAAAATGTAGTCATTCCTTTCCATATAAATCAATATTATTCCTGTAAATTAAAATAGAAAAAAATACATAAACATTTTGTGGTACTTTTTTTTGGGG